AGACAAATACGGATTGGACGGTAACATTCTAGAGAATATGACTCATGTTGCTGCAGCGGCGGATGCCGAAATGACGGGGGATAGTGAGATTCGTTCTAAACGTGCACGGGGCCCAGAGATAGAGGAGGAGAGGAAGTTTATGTTAGCGCAGGAGAAGGATCCTTTCAAACAGATGATGATGAAGCATGTTTGGAAAACGGAGGATGCACATGAGGATCTCGTCCATGTTGTTCAATCGACGAAGACGGACATCAAAAGAGTTGATGACACACTTAAGTTGCATACGGAGCGCATGGACAAATCAGATGCACGGACAGATATTCTGGAGAAACAGGTTAAGCAATTTTTGGCTGGATCTCCTGCCGCATCGGTTTCGACTAGTGTGGGCCCTGGCGGGTCCTCTGGTGGAGGTGTAGGTTCGGTCCCTCACGTGCAACAAGGGCGATCGAGCCAGTTTACGCCAACTTATCTTGAACTCAAAGGGTGGGTTACAGATTGGTCAAATCAAGTAAATCGGGAAAATCAAATGATACCCTGGGTGGATGCGTCACAGCTTATATCGAATATGATTGGAACACTTCAGGGGGAGGAAAGGAATGCTTACGACAAAGATAAAACTGAACGATTAAACGGAGGAAAATATATGTACGGAAGCGTGAAGGTCGGTTTCAAAGAAGGGACAGCACGGGACACCCTTTGGAGAATAAAGAAATGGATGGATATGGTCTGTAAGGAACCAGCCGATCGTATTGCTTCGCCTCCAGGTTATACATATCCAAATGCCGATGTTCTCATTCAAGATATGGACACGCCTATCGATCCCAGAAAGATTCGAACGCTTGTGGAGTGTGCACCCTGGAAGCGCGATCATGTGAAAGCGGTTGCTCGTTTCTGTGGGACTTGGCGAAGTATGACATCGGCTCATGTTCAAATCGAGATCCGTGGGGAGGTGGGGCCACCGAGGAGTCAGATTTGGACTCAAGCTGTTCCGAATCTCCGACCCGTCTGTTTTGCGACGTATACCAACACCACAGGGGCTTGGGTTCTTCATGCTGATGCATGGGCTCGTATTGTATCTATCTATCCTGCGCTGACGGTCCCCATGAATGAGATACTTCAGGCAGTAAATCGTAGGCAGTGACGTTTGAGGCGCCTCGTCCGAGGCATGCGTTTGGCGAGCTGGAACCTGAACAAAGCAGGTGAGGCTCATTTTAAATGTGCTGAGATTCTCCATCATATGAGGGCATGTGGTGGGCTCTTTGCATGTCAGGAAACTCAATACCTTGTGCATGGTGAATTTGAACGCTTGGGGTGGCGCATCAAAACTAGTTCGTGTAGCAAGGCAGCTCTCATCTTCGACAGATCTTGGGCGGCTGCCGTCCGCATGTTCTTTACGTGTTTCACGAGGTTCGTTGTCGGCGTCTTTGGGTCAGAAAAGTCACCACTTATTATTGTGTCAGCGTATTTGCCAGACCCTCATGTGGAGGATTGTGTAGAGATAGCTGCGGAGGTCTATGAGCAGATCAGTCGTGCTCGTAATGTACTCCGCACTAAGTTTCCTCAGGCCAGCTTTTGTGTTCTGCTTGATGCAAATGTGGAGATTCCGCCTGGATGCAAGTTTACGTATAATGGGGAAGAGTATGGAGCTACTGGAGAGGAGGGTACTCGTACGGACAGGAGGTGGGAGAGAGGAGGAGACGGTACACAGCAGATTGAGAGGAGGAATCGGAGGAGGAGGAGGCTGAAGGAGCTGCTCTTAGAGTTCATGGAATCACATGGACTGAAGGCCGCCAACACTTTCAATACTAGGAAGCATACCTGGGAGTCGTGGGGGGAGAACAGGTTTCTGACTTCGAAGAGGGTCCTGGATTACCTACTGGTCCCTCATCGTTGGGAGTTCTCGGATCTGGAGGTGAAGTGGTGTTTCAAGAGGGGTGGTAAGAAGCAGTTCAGTAGATTATCCGATCACGCTATCATCACGGCGAGTTTCACGGACCCTGGGAATGTGATTGTTCGTCGCCCTGACCCCCAGCCTGGTCAGAAGTCTAGGCCGTCCCTGGTCGGATGCAAATGTTCGACTTGGGCTGATGAGCATCAGGCTCGGCAGCATGTGGATTTGAATCTAGGCGGTGCGGCCTTCTCGAGGTGTCCGTCTGTGACCTGTTCACAATGTTTGCAGAGTGCTATGCTGGCGGCGTACTTGTCACCGACAGTGGACTACTCCACCACGGGTGCGAGAAGACCAAGAGAGCCGTCCAGGCCGGTGCAGCTCACGAGGGCCGAGGAGGAGGTTAAGATGTGTCCGAAGGAGGAGGTGGAGAGGTTGAGGAGGTTAAAGAATGAGGCCAATCGTCTACGCAGAAGTTATCGACGCGATATGATTATGTGCAGATGTCCCCCAACAAAGCGTAAGGTCAGATATACTATCAAACATTTAGTGGTGGATGGGAGGGAGACGGAGGACCGTGAGGAGTGGAAGGAGGAGCTCGACAAGTTCGTTCGTTTCAAGGTGTCGTCCGAGGAGGTACGGAATTCCACCAACAGTATGATGGAGGAGATCAGGATGAGGGCTGTACATGAGGTACGATCCACATCAGTTGTGGGAATTAGTATGGCGCTGCTTCTCAGAGCACGGGCTCGGCTGAAGACCCAGAGGGCTACTGGGCCAGATGGGATGCCGTGCGAGATTCTTAGGAGCTTGCCGTGGTGTGCTCTCAGAGCGATCCAGAAGTTGTTCGATAAAATCATCAAGCTCACGACTCCGTATCCTCAGTCGTGGCGTGAGATCCTCGTCTCTTTTATGCCCAAAATTACAGGGATTACTAAGTTAAAAGACGGTCGTTTGCTGTGTATGCAGAATGCTGTTTCGAGATGGTTCAGTTCCTGTATTGTTCTCCTGGTTGAGGGCCATATTGAAAGAAACGGAGTGTTTCGTCATATTGGGTTGTATGGTTTCCAGGAACATCGTCGTATACACGAAATCACGGCTAGCATCAAACATATAGGTCAACATGCTGCACAATGGGGAAAAGGGGAAACGGCGCACTTGGCGAACGCTGATGTCCTCCAGGCGTTCGATCACTGCACGGTGGCCAATGTCAGGCGCGGGTTGGATCATGCGAGCGTGCCCCTGTACCTACAGTATGCTCTACTTAACCCCTTGTGTGAATGTGTAGGCACTGTCTATTATGATGGGATTGAGGTTTTGGAGGTAAGGTGGGATAGATGTATTCGGACGGGAGGGCCTGAGGGCCCATTGGCTTTCGACCTTATTGTTGCTGCTATGTGGAGCTCCACGATTCGAGAATGGGATGTACTAGGACTAGGTTATCGTATTGAGTTTGCGACTGGCTCGACTAGCTGTGTTTCGATTATTAATCACTTCCTTTGGGCGGACAACTGTTATGTTCTGGCTCGGAGTCGGGAGGAACTCACGCGCATGTTATACGGTCTAACTACGCAGTTACATGACTATGGCATGCAATGGAAAGAGTCCAGTGTATTGTACATGGTGTTCGGGGTTGATCCTCCGCGAGATGCGGAAGGGGAAATATTACGTACTGCTGATCTTGCTCTCTCGATGGGGTCGGAGGATTCGGGAGTGTATCGATTTAGAAGAGTGACGGAGATGGAGGTGCTTGGGGCTCATATTTGTTCTGAACTACATGTGAACGAGCATCCAGATCTGGATGCTAGTATTGACTCTGCTCGCAGGGCTTTCTGGGGGCAGGCGACCTTCCGCTCCACGGCCATCCCGTTGAAAGATAAGTATGAGAGGTATGCACAGAGGGTTCAGAATATTGTTCTCTACGCGGCGGAAGGATGTACGGTCGACTCTAGTTCATTGAGTGCCCTTACTTACCCTTGAGGGTAAGTGCCTGGCTGTAATGTCTCGTTGTATACGGAGGGAAGGGGAAAGTTAGCAGGAATGGAATACGAGGGGGTATGAACGTGCGAGACAAAAATTTCATGATGCACACTAAGCGGGTATCGTACAGAAGTTTCTCAGAGTGCACTGGATGTGGGCAATCGACATCCATGATTTTGCCCATGGGTTGATCACAGATCGGGAGGCGCTGGAGGCAAACTCGACGAGCTTGGAGAGATTCTCGTTTCTCATGCCTGGCGTTTGGCCGACTGTGGGATAGAATGAGGACAGATTCAAGCGAGGCTCTCAGATGTTGGGGGAAATGGAAGGAGGCCAGCTCAATGAAACGACATCGGGGGGGACAGGAGAGTACAGGACTTCGTCCGTGGTACTATTCATTGGAATCGTTTTATGGGTTATCCTGGTGGGAGTTCTTTGCTGGAAGTTTTGAAAATTTCATGGATTTCGCTGTACATGTTTGTTCTAGTACTAGGTTGAAGTATTTCCAAAAGAAATGCAAAGGCTTGGCGTCCTCAGGGGTGCCTGTGTTCTTGAACGTGGATGAGGATGGAGGGGTTCATATTGGTCAGGATCGGGAGGATACACCAGCATATAGGGATCGTCTCAGCAAACGTATTGCGTTGCATAACATGCGTTGCACACAGTGGGACCTCGAAACGGATGGGATACCACTGGATATGCAGGGGGACTCACTGCTTGTGATTAACTGGCTCTGTGGGAAATGGAAAGTATTAGCTCAGGTTTATCAGAAAAGGGTGGATACTCTGATTCATAAGTTGGACGAGATGCAGGAAACATACTCGGTGAGGCCTCCAGAGGCTGGCCGTGACTTCTTCTCTCATTCTTTTCGGGAATGGAACCAGAGAGCTGACTTGCTGACCCATCCGGCCCGTCAGGGCCACGTGTACGCCGATTTCATTTACCTCAGCGATTTTGAATCTCAGTGTTATATTCCTTGCCTTATCAAAGCCGGCTTTGATGGGGGCGTTTGTAGCCGCGGAAGTGCCTGTGGTGTGTGGATGCAGATTGGTCTGCGAAACAAATATATCTTCTCGCGGACCGACATCATTTTCAAGGATGTGTATCTTGCGGCTTGGTGTCTGCCACCAAGCGCCACTGTTACATATACGGAACTATCAGCGGCGGAGCGCATATGCGATGTGCTCCCACAGGTTGTGCAGACCTTCTTTGATCGTTCGCAGTGGTATGTCACACATTGTTTCATCTTTATCTGTGTTCTTGTCTATTCCAACAGCTTCGCTGTTCATTGACTCATTCGTTTGTCTTTTGTGTGCTTTGCGTTTGATTGTGTCATTGCGGCATGTGATTCTCTTTATTCCAACAGCTTCGCTGTGTGGTATAAGAGCTGACTGCTTGCGTGATAAATAAGAGGCTCTGTTTCGCCTGATACTTTGTTGGACCTGGCCTTAGTGGCCAAGACGGTCCCAGCAAAGACGCAAAAAACCAGGTTGACGGTTTGCCGCCGGGGACCTCGTTTGAAAGATATTTGACCATTCATTCTGAGAAACTATATTTTTCGCACCTGTAGTGGGTTATGAGGCGTGCGCCCGTGAAATCCTCAGGCCCGTAGGTACAGTATTGCTACCAAAACATTTGGAGCAACCAACTTTGCATGAAAACCGGGAAAAACGTGACTTTTCGAGTTTTTCGGCTCTCGCTTCAAGCTTCCTTCACGTGTTCCGAGGAGCGCTGTGCAAGAAAAGAGCTCTACGAGGTGCCCGGCGGTAACCTGGTTGACGGTTTACCGCCGGTTCCCAGTGCCTCGTAGAGCTCTTCGGCATCGATGAGCTACAGGAATTCGGGCGCGGGGTCCAGCTAGTACCTTGTAGAGCTCTTCGTCATCGATGAGCTAGAGGAATTCCGGCGCGGGGTGGAGCTAGTTGGTCGAACCGGCCAGAAAGGACAATGTGTTAACTTTGGGTCGGTTTTGCGAACATGTGAAAGATATTTGACAATACATTTTGAGAAACCAGATTCTTCGCACCTGTAGTGGGTTTTGCCGCGTCTGCCAGTCAAATTCTCAGGTCCGTAGGTGCAGTATTATTATCAAAACACTTGGGGGAACCATCTTTGGATTAAAACATAAAAACGTGATTTTTCGAGTTTTTCGGGTCTTGCTTCAGACGCTCCTTCAGTGTACCGAGGAGCGCCGTGCGAGAAAAGAGCTCTACGAGGGCCCCGGCGGTGACCTGGTTGACGGTCTGCCGCCGGTTCCCAGTTGGCCGACCCGGCTCGGGCGGACAATGTGGTGACTTGGGGTCGGTTTTTCGAAGATTGTGAAAGATTTTGATATTCGTTTTGTGAATCCAGATTTTACTTTCTGCAGTCGATCATGGCGCGTTCGATGATGCAATTCTTAGGGCTCTAGCTGCATTATTTCGATCAAAGACTAGGAGGAACCGACGTTTCGTAAAACCCCAAAACAACATTTCTCCAGTTTTTAAGTTCTTATTCACGAACATTTTCGTCTGTTCTTGGGGAACTGACTTGGTCTCTTCTGAGCTCTACGAAGCTCAACCAGTCCCAGTGCGTGAGCATCACCATGCATGACATCTTGCGAGCGAGGGCTCGCCTCAAGAGTGGGGCGGCTGGACCTGACCAAGTGACGCGGGAGATGCTGCAGCTCATCCCCTTTGCCAGCCTCAAGACAATCCGACATCATTTCAGCCTGATCGCCAATCGTCGTCAACAGGTCCCCTCGGATTGGAAGAGGTCTCCGGTAACTCTCATCCCGAAGGCGCCGTCCATCCAGGAGCTTTCAGAGACTAGGGCGATCTGCCTCCTGAGCCTGGTCCAGAAGTGGTACAACCATGTCCTAGTCATTAAAGGGGAACAACATCTGGTGAATATCAAACACTCTCTTAACATGTATGGGTTTGTGCAGTTCAGGAAGGTTTCTGAGGTCACATCGTTTGCCAAACATCTTTGCCAACATGCTGCACAATGGGGAAAAGGGGAGAAGCTCTATCTGGCCAGCCTCGATGTACTCCAGGCGTTTGACCACGTTACTATCAAGCTAGCGTTACAAAGTATGGAGAAGCTTGGTTTTGACCCCGCTTTGATTTATGCCCTTCTTTGCCCTATGACCGAAAACACGTGTAAAGCCACCTTCGAAGGGACCCAGAATTTGGATTGGATTGGTTGGGATCGGAGTATCAGGACGGGCGGGGTGGACGGACCATTCATATTCAAAGTGGTGAGTGTGGCCTTGTGGAATGATATCGTCGGGACCTGGCCAGGGCGTGATCTGGGTTACGTAGTCGAGTCCCCCGTCCCCATGCCCACTAGATCGACGATTTCACATGCCCTCTGGGCAGACAATTTGTTGCTGTACGCCAGAGATGAACGGCAGCTCAGGACCATGGTGACTGAGCTCACTCTCCCCCTGCTCCAGGCCGGCCTCAATTGGAAACCATCCTCTCTCAAGCTCATCCCCTTTGGCGTCAATGGCTCGAATGATGTAGTTCTTGATATTCAGTTGCCCACACAGACCCACGCGTATAAACTTGAATGCGTTAACACTTTGGACATCCTGGGCTACAGGTTGGACAGAAATTGGACACAGCATAGCGATCTGCAGTTCAACTTGGATCGTGCCCGTGGTGCCTTCTTTGCCGACATCGAATATTATAGAAGTCATCGCATCCCGATTGAGAGACGATTCCAACGATACCGACTCCGTATACAGAGTAAGCTACTTTTCGCAATCGAGGGGATGACGATTGACAACATCACGGCACAAAAAATATTCTCCTGGGAAGGAAAGCTATTAGCCATCATCGGAGGAAGGAGGAAAGGAGTGACTGAAGATTGGACGGTCTACCAAAAGAGGAGGTTCAAGTATGCTCGCGACCAGTTCGCCAACCTTGGATTTCTGTCGGCGGTGGAACTCTTCATTCACAAGAACTGGCTCTGGGCGAAAGATATCGCTTGCTTTGCCAGAGGCTTTGCGTGTCAAAATATCCCGACAGCTGCGCTGCACACGGACAGAGTACATGCTGATCCGACAGCTTCGCTGCACACGTACAGTCAGGCTCATACACATGTCCATTCGTCTTTGCCTGTGCCTCAGTTGTCTGGCCAACGTTCTTTGGAGTCCACGCCCAGTTTTATTCAGACAGCTACGCTGCACACTCACAGTGATGATACAACACATGCCCATTCCTTGCTGCCAGTGCCGCAGGTTGATGACCGTTCTTTCGACACGTTGCCCAGTTATATTCAGACAGCTACGCTGCACACGAACAGTGGAGAGCATGCACACCTTCGTTCGATGTCTTCTGTGCCGCAGGCTGAGAGAGGAAGTTCTTTCGATCAGTTGCCTTGTTATGTTCCGACAGCTACGCTGCACGCACACACAGTGCACACTCTATTCATTCTCATTGTCCGCCTCGTGCTTTGCCTCAGAGTGTTTCGCCTGAGCCCCAGAGACCTGCGGCTATGTTTGGTAGCCGTGGGGGACTGACTGAGCACAAAAAAGATTGTCAACGTTCTTCTGGTCGTGTGTCGTCTGCGTCCAGTAAAAGAGTTCCTTTGGAGCCGAACAAAAAGGATGCTCATTGTTCTTCTGGTCGTGTGTCGTCTGCGTCCAGAATAAGAGTTCCTTTGAGTGATCCGCTGCAGGTGGCGCATCTGTTTGAGTGCGCCAGGCTCCTGGAAGAAAGGAGCAGGCAGCGCGAATCTCAAGGCACTGTCAGTCCTGCGGCCACAGCCCCCCCAGTCGACGGCGAGAGCGAACCCACGCCCGCGGCCAAGAATCGTCGCAGGCAGATTGTGGAGACCCGTCTGGCCGCCAGGGGAGAGAAGCGGTGCCCTGGCCCGAGTCTCACTGCGAGCCAGGAGGAGCTCGCCAAGCGTGTCAGACAGCCCCAGCGCCCTTGCGACAAAAGAGATCGGGATGAAATATGTTCGCCGAGGGGCAGTCAAAAGAGACGGTGTATTGCTCATGTGAATGATGACCCCATCGCTTCCGCCGATAGTCTGTCTGCTGCCCCACAGGGAAGTAAGCGACCACGGGACCCCCCCTCTTCTAATCATGATAGTGAGCCGCGAGAGGCACGACCCTCTGGCGCAAACGTGAATGCCTTCAAACTCAACGCCTACTCTCAGGCGCGGTTGGGCATGATGCATGCGTCAGGTGATTGGTCCGCTCATCGTCGCGCGTTCGCTGCGCGCTCGAGGGATTCTCAGGCTGCTCTTCTTGGATGGCGTGGTGGTACTAAATACGTCGGTTGGAGAAAATGGGAAGATGTCTTCATTGCGGATCAAAATGGCAATACTAAGTGGTGGGACGCTATGATGTTTGGGAAAGAAGATTGGTCGATTTTCGTTGAGAAGTTATTCAAAAGATTGCACCTGCCCGCCATTCTTGACTATCTGGCCAAACCGAGAGTTTCGGTTGCCCGTACGGAGGAAGAGGAGACGAAAGTTAACAATGATAGGACTGCGCGTCGCATTGCTCATAACTTTGAAAATGAGACTATCTTTGACTATGATTCGGAGAAGATTCCATTTGAAATACTGGGTGACAGCTTGTGTGTTGTCCAATGGATAAGAGGGCACTGGAGGTGCACGAACATGGGCTATAATAACACCTTGGAGGCGGCACAAAACACTCTTGATGCTATAACGGACACCTGCTTGAGAACTGCGTGTGCGGGGGCGGACCCAATCAAACATCTTTATAGGGAGGGTAACAGTTATGCTGATGAACTAACGTGGGCTTGCAGAGCTTGCCCACACACATCGAAGAGAAACGAGTATCTTGCCCCTTTATATACTTCGAAAGTTTTAGGATTGAGGGGTTACTTCGACGGAGGCACCTCGGATATTGGGGCTGGGGGAGGCTGGTGGCTGCAGGCTTTTGTAGAACATAAAAATGCTATACAGTGTCACGTGATTGCCGAGGAGGCGTTTGGCCTCGATAGGGAGTCAACCGTGACGGTCTGTGAGTTAACGGCCGCCTCGAAGCTAATTCACGCAATCTCGCAGATTGCGTCTGTTATAGATAGCGTCTCACACGCTCGGTAGAGCCACTTGCGCCTGGTGGCCGCGGGGAGCACCGCTGCTTGCATGTGCTGGAGGACCCCGCCGCAAAGCCCGCAAACCTGGTTGACGGTTTACCGCCGGCTCCTAGTTATGTTGACAGGCG